GGGCGCATCTGGTGGCCCGAGTGCTCTGCCAGCGAAAAAGGGTTCTCGAGCTCCATTTTCGGTGGCGACAGCATCCTGCAACCCTCTGTCAGTGAAAGCAGCTCAGGAGGGCTGCGCATGACCCTTGCAAGTTCCATTTTTGCTGGCAGAGGCACCATGGGCCAGTCCTTTGCTGTTTCCAAGGTGGCTCTGTGGGCCAGATCTAAGCACCTCGCAGGCCAGATTTGGCCCCCGGGCCTTGACACGCCTGGATTAGAGTATCCCACCCCCATTGTCCTTTCTGACCAGTACTGGCCCTCCAACCTTGTTTCCATGCCTCTGTCTCTTAGTATTTTTTTTTATTAGTATCTCAAAATATAAAATACAAAGAGAAATAAATGTAAAAGGGAAAGTAAGGGAGGAAAAAAAGGGGGAAAGTGTAGGGTAAAAGGGAAAAAAGAAAGAAAAGCATTGACTTCTGGCTCTTTATAACACAATAGAATAAAGTAATAACCATTTCTGTAACAATAAATCTACAGAACCAACAAGTCAAAGTTTTATGTGTTTTTGTCCTTTTTTAATTCACTTTTTAAATATTTTTGTCTAGTAATAACTTTTCTATTCTAGCAAGCTTTTGACAGCTCAAAAGAGTGATCAGACTGTTCATATTTGACAGGAGTTCAGTTGTGGTATTAGGCCAGAATACCACAACTGAACAACTGAATACCAACCCTTTATTACATGGTGTTAAAGTTCCCCCAAGAATCCATATCCAAAATTCAGCAACAAACCTCAAATTACAGTAATATATTTTCCTTCTTTTAATTTTTTTAAAAAGTGTCACATTTTTGAGTGGCTCAATGTCCTTTTTTTTTTTTAATTAAAAAAGTGGTCTAACCCCTCTAAATTTCACTGATTTATGTGCAGTGCAAAGACAGACATGAGGAAAAGGATTGTCTTTCTTCAATTCTCATTCTTCTCCTAGAACACAGAACATGGAATAATAGAGTAGGAAGGGACCTTAGTCCAACCCCCTGCTCAAACAGGAGGCCGTACACCTTTTCAGACAAAAGATTGTCCAGTCTCTTTTTGAAAACCTCCAGTGATGGAGCATCCACAACTTCTGAAAGCAAACTATCACTGTCAGGAAATTTCTCCTTAGTTCTAGGATGTTTCTCACCTTGGTTAGTTTCGAACCATTTTTTCTTGTCTTGCTTTTTGGTGCTTTGGAAAATAGTTTGACTCCCTCATCTTTGTAGGACCGCTCAAATATTGGAACAGTGCTATGTCCCCTCTAGTCCTTCTTTTCATTAGACTAGACATACCCAATTCCTGTAATGGCGCTTTGTATGTTTTAGCCTCCAGCCCCCTAATCATTTTTGGTGTTCTTCTCTGCACTCTTTCCAGAGTCTCAACATCGTTTTTGTATTGTGGTGACTAGAGCAGGATGCAGTATTCCTAGTGTGGTCCTCCGAGACCAGTATCATGAGAGTGATCATTCACTCCTTCCAGAGACTGCTATAAAGAATGCAATTTGTTTTAAAAAGGAGAACTGGAAGAGATAAGAGATTTCTTATCATTCTTAAGCATGCTTTTTTTGCTCCAAAGTATATGTGGGAGGTGTTGGTGGGTGGGTGGGCGAATTATGGAGGCATTTCACATTTTGCTGTTGGCAGTTAAGATAAAGTTTGCAGGAGATGAACTGAATTATAAAATTGACCTCTGAAGAGGTTGGCTTCTCTGCAATTTAGATAAGACTGGCAGTGGAGAAAGGCAGAGCCAGCAGAAAGGCAATTAACTGCCGAATGTTGTTCAACAGTAATGATCTTGATTAGCTGTTTGCTTTTGCTGTCTGGCTGGAAATGTCTAAAATAATACTTGGCATGGAATGGATGGGAAGGGATAACTCAAACATTGCCAAGAAATGTGAGAAAGAAACCATGAAACAAGTGAGGAATCATTAAGAAATCAACCTGGTTCACAATTGCTAAGCTGTATTTCATTCCATGTTGGATACAGCCCAAATATACTTCTGCTGATGACTGAAGAATATATACAATGTGATCTACCTTCGTGTTTTAGTGATGATACTAGCCTTTACAAAACCTTTGGTCAGAAATACCCATCCTGAAGTCAATACAGTTTATCATGTTTATCATGTCTCTGTACCACTGGTGACTTTATTAAATCTGGCAATAGCACTGATGTTGCGTGCTGTATAATATCATGAGTTACAGCTATAGATTTTGTTGCTTTGAATATACAGCAATTAATTTAACTTGTCATGCAACTTTTAGTTTAAAGCTCTGTATTTTATGGTTTTATGTTAATAATAATTATGTAATTACATCAGTTGTTTTATTCTATGTTTGTACTATTTTTATTTATAAGTGCTCCTACTACTGCTGTCAGGGGTGATATGGCAAAAGAGTTTAACTTTTATTACTATCTTTGAGATATGCTCAGCAGAGGTGGATTTCAGCAGGTTCTGACCAGTTCTGGAGAACTGGTAGTGGAAATTTTGAGTAGTTCGGAGAACCGGTAGTAAAAATTCTGACTGGCCCTGCCCCCATCTATTCTCTGCCTCCCAAGTCCCAGCTGATTGGGAGGAAATGGGGATTTTGCAGTATCCTTCCCCTGGAGTGGGATGGGAATGGAGATTTTACAGTATCCTTGCCCTGCCACACCCACCAAGCCATGCCATGCCCACCAAGCCACCCACAGAACCAGTAGTAAAAATTTTTGAAACCCACCACTGATGCTCAGTGAATACAAACCACCTTGAAAGTGGATTTACAAATGACAGGCTACAAGATAAAGATGCTACATGGATAAAGATACTACACTAGACATACAAAAGAAATCAGCTGATATTTTAATAATCAAAAACAATATGCAAATAGTAAACCAAGAGAGTAACCTGGATAATTTTCCTATGTTATATTTATAAAAGTGGCTTGTGAGATTCTTCAAAACTTTAACAAACTATTTTAAAAATTTGATTATAAGGGCATTTTAAGCGTTTCATATGTATGGGGGAGGAGGCATCTTATATGTTTGGTGGTGAATACAGCTCACAGGTGTGGAGGAAAGCATATGAACATGTGTTCACTGTGGGGCAATGAATTTAGTTAATCTGAAAGTCTGGATTACTTAGGTAGATGTTAGATCATTTGCAGGCTGATCATCCAATAAAGGGGTTTTGTCCAGGATGGATATAGGTCACAGAATGATTTTAGCTGTGACCCATTGGCTATAATAGCATTTCATAACAGTTTATCACTGGGTACTAATTTGGTCTTACTTTGTGTTTTATATCTGTGAGCAGGTATTGTTAAAAATATTTGATTCATATCTGTTACGAATATATCTTTTAACTTAGGGGTCTTTTGGTTTACATATCACACTAAGACACGGTGTGCTTATTCATGGAATACTGCATAAATTAAACTTGGCAGGGTTTATCAAGCAGGATAAGTCATGGTTGAAGTGCTACAATGGCTAAATTCACAAAGCATGCTAAACCGAAACGCATCTAGCTAAGCCCACTGCATCCTAAGACTTCATTGCAGGCAGTAAATTTTATATATTCTAAATGATGGCTGAAAATGTGCACATTTGTTTAAAACTTTAAATCCAAGAAAATGCCTGTATTGTAGTTATATTGCTTCCATACACTCCTCAATGTAAAGTTGAGATAGTTGTTTACTTCTATGGACTCCAACATCTGGAGAAAGAGAGCAAGCAAAAGAAAACAAATTTCTACTGCAAATAAAGAGTTCAACACATCTGGGTCATAAGAAGTTATACTACTGTGATAAATCTATTAAGACCTTAAATTACTATTTTAAAAATGTGGAATAGCACAAAGTTGCAGTTTTCCACAACAATTTATAATTTGTTAAAAATATCTTATTTTATACGTAGTTTGGAAAGGATAGCCCTAGTTAAGCCAGGGTCAGGAGAGGCAGTCAAATCAAGATCTATTATCACCACTTAAAGCTAGTTTTGCAAGCTATAGCTTGGTCAGTTTGTGACTTAATATATCTAAAGTCACATTTGCCTGTGGAAGAGTCCATTGCTTAGGAGAATATGCCAGGTTTCTCAAAGAAAATAGAGAATGAGAACTGCATAAAATACAATTTACTTATGGTTGAGAGTGTAAGTCTTGATAATGATGATAATAATAACAACTACTACTACTACTACTACTACTACTACTACTACTACTACTACATTATTGTCATTGTATGTGTATGCACAGTATACCCATACAACAAAATTCACTTAACACCCAAAGACCAGGTCCAACACACATAACAATCCCCAAACACACCTCCACCCACCACAAATTCCCCACCCCTAAATCACCCAAACATCCACACAACAGACCAAGTAATCCTGTCCAACAGCTCATTGATGGTGGCTCTTTAGTTCATTGTTGAGTGCAATTATAGCTCTAGGATAAAAACTATTCAGGAAACATGTGGTCCGAGTTTTAATTGTTCTGTATCTTCTGCCAGAAGGCAACAGTCCAAAAAGATTGTAAGCAGGATGGGAAGAGTCTCTGAGAATGTTATGCAACTTCCTCAAACAGCAAGATTCGAAGATGTCGTCCAGGGCTGGTAGCTGGAGCCCAATGATATTCTGGGCAGTTTTAATGATTCTCTGTAGAGCATTTTTGTCTGCTGCAGAGCTGCTCCCATACTATGCAAGAATGCCATATGTCAGGACACTCTCAATAGTGCTGCGATAGTAGGACAGAAGTAGATGCTGAGATAGATTTATGTTCCTGAGCATTCTCAGGAAGTACAGCCTCTTCTATGCCTTCTTCACAAGCATGTTAACATTTATAATCCATGATTAGTATTATGCCTGAAATGTATTCTGTAGGGTTGGTCTTCGGTTGTAGTCGAGAACTGCAACTGTTTGTTCTTTAGGATTCACACAGGAATGTTGCTATTTCTCTTTGTGACTTTCTTCTCTTTTCTTCCCTCCTCCTCCCCCCCCCTCCAAAACAGTGAAACTTGGTGGGCTATGGGATGGATGAAGCTGAGCAGGACCAGTACGAAGCCCATCTCAAAGAGCTCTTTGACAGCTTCGATGTCACCGGCACTGGCTGTCTGGGGCAGGACGAACTGACCGAACTTTGCCACGTGTTGCATCTTGAAGAAGTAGCACCAGGAGCATTGCAGGAGACCCTTCTACAGGATGGTCTCCCTAGGCGGGTAAGATCATACACTCTGTAGATGGGCCCAGCTGTCATTCCAGCCTTGGAAAATCTGCACTGGTGGATCAGTGTGTTCTTGCATCCAGGGTGTTCTTGCATCCAGAGGGAAAGTGGAGATTGGAATGGAAGGAAAGAATGAAGTAGAAATAATAGAAGGAAAAGTTCAGAGATGAAAAGATAGCATGCCACATCAAACCATAACGTCACCATACATGTACCAGTGTGACTGAATTCATATATGATAGTAATAAATAATGGCTTACAAACACACTGGACTATAGTTTAATAGATTCACGTAGCACACAAAATTAAAACCCATATCATTACAGATAGTCTTTACTTACAAGCACACTTAATTCCATTTTAAATTGTTTTTATCAGATTTCAGTAAAAATTTGTGTCTGGAACTCTGCACTTTGATATGGCCCAAGGGCTAATCAATAAAGTAAACTAACTACAACCACAATTGGGACTGGGATTTCCATCATAAGTTGTTGTAGTTGTAAGTCAAGTCAAACCTAAGAGCCTGAGTGGCATAGGAGGCTAATGCCTCCTAAGGCAGCATTTAACATCCAGCTGCCTGCAATTACTGCGAGTTCAATTCTCACCAGGCTCAAGGTTGACTCAGCCTTCCATCCTTTCTAAGGTAGGTAAATTGAGGACCCAGTTTGTGGGGGCAATAAGCTGACTTTGTATAAATATACAAAAAGTATGAAGGCTATTGCTTAACGCATTGTAAGCCTCCCTGAGTCTCCGGAGAAGGGCAGCATATAAATCAAATTAAAAAAAAAAAACAATTTCACAATTTTTGCAGTGGTCATTAAGCAATTCCAGCTTCCCCAATGGACATTTCTTGCTAGAAAGCCCCCAAAAAGGTTACAAATTGCAGGATGCCACAACTGGTTGTAAATGTGAACTGGTTGCCAAGTGCCCAGATTGTGATTATATGACCACTGAGGTGGTGCAACCATGATGTCATAAGTCACTTTTTCTGAGGCCGTTGTGACTTTGAGTCATTGTTAAATGGTATTTAAGTTCAGGACTACCTGTATTGTCTAGTCAGGGTACTGCACATAAAACAGGGTGGAGTTTGATTTCATCATTATGACTGCCATCTTGAATTTTTTGATCTTATCCTTATCCCTGACTGTACTGTAATGTGCAAATGATGCTAATGTGCTTTGCTGATTTCTATTGAGGATGGTATGTTAATCCAGCAGCCCCCAACCTTTTGGGCACCAGGGACTGATTCCATGGAGAGAGGTTTTTCCACAGACCAGAAGGGGTGTGATTTCATGTGCTGCCTGCATCCCATGAATGGGGCTTCACTTGTTTGCATGGCCCAGTTTCCGGCATGCTGCGGACTGGTGTCAGTCCATGGACCAGAGGTGGGGGACCACTATGTTAGTCCATTACATTGGAGGTCTTCTAATCCAGCAAACCCAATATCATTTCAGACAAGTGGCTGTCCAACCTCTTTTTTAAAAAAAATGTAATACAATAATTCCACCTTCAATTAAACAGTGTGTTGTCCGGATACAAATAGCTTTATAAAATGATAATCAAAATTTTAGAATATTAATCACAATATTATAATTATAATATTATAATTATACAATATTATAATTACAATATTCACTACAATATTCTTTTCTTTTGGATCTTCAGGGCTTCCCACTTAGTCTGTGGGAAACTGAGAGAGGGGTTTGCATGGAGTTGGTAGATAACAACATTCTTTTCTCTGGGAGTCAAGGACATTCAGCCTGCACCTGGAGTGGTGTGACTGGGAGGCATCTCCAGTTGGGACGGACCATGTGATGGACATGTGGGTACAGGAGAAGGGACTTTGACTTTCCTTTGAGTGGGGAAAACCTGGGAGCTTTCAGATTTGGGTTTTCCTCAGATGTGCCAATATGACATCTCTAATTCTACTAGTTAATTGTTCCCACTGTTAGGAAGTTTCTCTATTAGGAAGCTTCATGCTACCCATGAAATGGCTTTGGCCATTATTGCTTTTTCGACTCTCTTGAAACCTCCTGACGTTATTTGTGAATGCAATCACATTGAAGCACAACCCACAAAATAGATCTTCCTCTCCCAACCCAGCATCCTTCCTGGACTACAGTTTCCTTGCACCTAACAAGTATAATCATACTGACAGGGAATTCTGGGAGAAGTTCTACAACTCATGGGGATTATGCCAAGTTGGGGGAAGGCTGAAATAACAGATTTCTTATCTCCCTGAGTGTATTCTTTTTCTCTCTCTTGTGTTTCTACATCTACATTTTCTCATTTCTTTCCCCATCTCTCGTAATAGGCGTTTAGAAGAAAGGCAGCTCCCTCCACTTAATGTATAATTTTATGGCCATTGCATTATGGGTCCCTAATTTATTACATGATTGGTCCTTTGTGCAAATGTTCCTGAACCTTTGTATTCTTAAACCAATCTCCCTTAGGAAAACAAAGCCCACCCTTGCTCCACTCAAAAGAACCCTTTTCTGTCTCTTCCTTTGGAATTAATCTCACTCTTGCTTTGGTCTGTGATGTTAAGAAGTGAATCTCTGGGAATGGCAGGGAAGAAGCAAGAAAAGAGCTTTCTGGCTCAAACTGGGCAAATCCTTTCTTTCTGATGAGAGGGGGGAGGCTTGGAGGGCTCCAGTCTCCCTGAGGGAAGAGTCTGGGTATCTCGAAGGGCACCTGGGAATTTGCACTGTGCAGAAAAGGAGGGGGTTGGATAATGAGCAGCTCACAGTGCCTTTATTGTGTTAATAAGGGCACTGGCTCTGAGTTACCCTCCTTCTCAAATGGAATCTCCAATATTATTTCCTTTTTCTGCCTGGCACTCAGAAAACTCATCACTCAGATGAGAACCAGAACACAAAATACAAGCTGAGTGGACACGACTTTGTAGATGACCCTCACTCTGTCAAGGACCTTGGACTACTCATATTTAATGATCTAAGTGCCAAAGCCCACTGTAACAACATCACCAAAAAGGCATTAAGAGTTGTAAAGCTAATCTTGCGTAGCTTCTTCGGTAATATCACACTACTAACCAGAGCATACAAAACATTTGCTAGACCAATTCTCAAATACAGCTCATCTGTCTGGAACCCTCACTGCATATTGGACATTAACACAATTGAACATGTCCAGAAATATTTCACAAGAAGAGCCCTCCACTCCTCTGCTCGCAACAAAATACCTTATGCCACCAGACCTGAAATTCTGGGTTTAGAAAACTTAAAACTACGTTGCCTTCGGTCTGATCTAAGCATAGTACATAACATTATCTGCTACAGTGTCCTGCCTGTCAATGATTACTTCAGCTTCAACCACAACAATACACCAGCACACAATAGATACAAACTTAAAGTGAACTGCTCCAAACTCGATTGCAGAAAATATGACTTCAGCAACAGAGTAGTCAATGCCTGGAATGCACTACCTGACTCTGTGGTTTCTTCCCCAAACCCCCAAAACTTTAACCTTAGACTGTCTACTGTTAACCTCACCCCATTCCTAAGAGGTCTGTAAGGGGCATGCATAAGAGCATTAGCGTGCCTACTGTCCCTGTCCTAATGTTTCCTCTATTTGTATCTATTTTATGTATCCAATCCATGTTTATATTTATTACCTAATACGTTCCTGACAAATAAATAAAGTTCAATGAAGCACTAACTAGCATTGGGGAAACAAGCTGAACTCTCGGTATATAGGACACCCTGCTAATACTATCATCTTTACAATTTTCTTTGGCTTTACCATCCTAAATGTTCTTTAATGGAAAAGATGAATCTAAACTAGGTACATAAAGAAATCCATCTCTTTTGACTTTTGATGTGAGTGAGATACATGAGTTTCCAGGGCTGCATTATTATTTTTTTTGCACTTGCGTTTAAATGAGGCTTGTGATATCATCTGATAACTCTTTCCAAAGACATTACCTTCTCCTATGCCAGTGGCATAAATTATTTTAAGTGATTGCATTGATTTAGCTTTAGAGAAAAGTTTTTCTGGGATCTAGTTTTCCAGTCTTGAATTGATTTTTGGTCATTTTGGATTTCCTCCACACTGCCATTCAATTCAAGGTTTCGCGTGATTTCTGCTCCCTCTGAATGGTAGGTTTTAACTCCTGTCAGTTATGTGATTTAGCCTCTCCTAATCATTCTTCCTTTGACCAATCAGTTTTCCCAAGTAAAAATCACATGCCCTAGAGAAGCAGAACTGAGGACATAATGCATCCATTGCATCTAGTAGAGCCTATATGCTCTAGAATGAGGTTTCTAGGCTGGGTTCAGGGGGACCTTGGAACCTGGATGGGTTCCACAAGGGGCCTGGCAGAGAGGACCCTCAAATGTAGTAATCTTGAATGCACAGACACCCATCCCCTCTGTTTTTACCTCAATTCTACTTTTGCCGTTACACTGCACCAGTGTTTGTATCCAGGCCACATGTAGGGATTCGCTGCTTTTCCTTTCCACCACTGAAATCTTCCCACAAAATGACTTCCTAGTTGTCTCCAAACTCCAACAAATATTTTCCTCAGTGGCCCAGGTTTTCTAAAGGGTGGCAGAGGAAGGTGAAAGAAGAGGTGGGAGCATCTAACTTAGCAGCCCAAAAACAATTATGGTGAGTTCCTCACTCCCATGTTAATGTTAAATTTGCACTAAACACTTTACTTTATTTATTTTAAATAAAATACTTACTTATTTTATTATCAGTTTTTTATCGCTAGAATGTTGCCTCTTGATCGGGATTTCAGAGGCGGTGGGTTTTTCTAACAAACAGGTTCCGTGACCTGAAAAAATGTGAAAAACCCTGTTCTAAAACAGTGTTTCTCAATCTTGGTGACTTTAAGATGCATGGACTTCAACTCCCAAAATTCCTCAGGCAGCATGGGAATTCTGGGAGCTGAAGTCCACACATCTTAAAATCACCAAGGTTGAGAAACACCATTCTAGAACTATTGGAATGTGTTAAAGGAGGACATTCAGTATTGCCTTGTCTGTCTGAATGCAGCAATTCAGACAGCTCTACTCAAATATAGTAGCTATTGGGTTCAACAACAGTGTAAATGTTGCAGTAGCCTTCTGTAATTTAGTTACAGAAGTTACTTTAGTTACTTTCTGTAATTTAGTTCCTCCAAATATAATGGGTCTAGTACTCTGGAATTTTGTCGTGCCTAGTGGGAGTTCTAGACATTTTGCTCCCAACATACCTGAGGAATGGAGAGATTTTATTTATTTATTTATTTATTTATTTATTTATTTATTTATTTACCGTATTTGATTTTGATGATGCCAGTTCCAGGAGGATAGGTTTACAGCTCAAAGTTAGGTCTCATGAAAACATTACTTGTACCTCTTTTTTTTTTTTACTTTTCCCTATTTTATAAGCTCAACACCACCTTGTGTAAATTTTGATTCATACATTTTTAAAAATGAGCCTCTCAAAGTAGAAGCTGCGCTTTTTTTTTTTTTGACTCCAGAAAACCCAAGAGGGACTGACATCACAAACACTTTGAAGGGAACATTAAAAATGTAGTATTTTAAGTTTCTTTGGACTGTCTTTGCTTTCCACCCTACAGTGCTTGAAATTTTAACTTGCTATGGTCTAGAACTGGCAATGTTTTTGCACTGAACAGGCAAGCGTACTCAGTGATCATATCTGATGTGGTGTCTTTTGATGAAGTTGGACCAGCAAAATTTTAGCCTTAAGAGAACTGGAAGGCACCAAATTAGCAAAAACCTGATGCATACCCTGTTTCGCCCAAAATAAGACATCCCCTGATAATAAACCCAAATGGGCTTTTGAGCGCATGGCAATAAGGCCAAGCGATCATTTCAGGGTTCTAAAAAATATAAGACAGGGTCTTATTTTCGGGAAAACACGGTAGTTATTTGGGCCAGGCTGCATTCCAGGAACAGAAGGATATTTCAGAAAAGGATTGATACAAAAATCCAGTGTTAAAAATAACAATGAATCCAATTGCTAGAGTCTTGATTAGAAGCAACAAAACCTATGTGGGGCACCCTGTCAAATTGTGATATTGTTTCTCTCTCCACACCCCCACCCCTTCTGAACTTGGTTTAAATTCACTCTTCTTAATCTTCCCTTTGAGCTTCAGTCACGGTAAAATTGCTTCATGTGATCCAAACCCTGGCCATCTGTTCTGCTTGCAGCTGCAATTTCAAGGAAGGAATTTCAACCCCAACAGAGAAACATTCACTTCTATTCCATCAAATGAAATACCTTTCCGCTGTCTCAATCCTTTCCTTTTTCCTTTTTAACATTACTTTAAAATTTAGTCCAATTGCATAATAAATAGTGGAGTCCTTGATGTTCTCTAGGTTTGGTTGTTTGCTTATAGACATTTCATTACCCAATTAGGTAACATCATCAGTGTGAGGAAAGTGGGGTTTGCTCCTTGTTTATATACAGAAATATGTCCTGCCAATGTGATAGGAGTATTGTTTTCTCCTTGGTAGTTTCTTGATTAGAGTACTGCTTTAGACAATGAATCGTCTGCAAGAAAACAAGCAAGCTCAGAGAGCACCAAGGACCCCTCATTTCAACCCTGAGCTACAAATATTTTTTATTGGTAATATTGCTTCCTTCTTGATTGTTTGTCTAGCATTACTCCTTATCTAGGTGTCAGTTGCTGAATGGGCCTGGCCTTTTTTTCCTTCTTACCAGTAGCTTTTTTATTGTCTCATTTTAATGATGCGTAAATGTGGTTTATTTCAGTGTGTCTATTGATGGCTGCTTTGTCTGAATGTCAAGCCTCCAGGACAGTGGTGGAATTCATTTTTTTTTAACTACCAGTTCTGTAGGTGTGGCTTGGTGGGCGTGGCAGGGGAAGGATACTGCAAAATCACCATTCCCACCCCACTCCAGGGGAAGGATACTGCAAAATCCCCAATCACATCAATATTATTTCTGGCAATTTTACACAATATCTGAGCTAAAGGGTGCCCTCAGCGTCAAAGTTAGGGCTGTCCACAGGAAGAATTTTTTAAAAAAGAATCCACTAACTTCACTAACATATAAAGTTGGGTACACGTATCATGCTAAGCCAAAATGTAGCTTGGTTTTGGTTTAGTATGAACCCAGTATTGTGGTTTGTAAACCATAGTTTATAGCTTACTATTTTAGGTGAACAGATCTGTAACATATTGGACTGCACTTAAAACAAATTAAGGCCTGGCAATGAAACTATTGTTTCATCACAATTTATTGAATAAATCACATTTGTCTAGGTTCACCGATATGCTAAGACATATTGTGACTTGTTTTATTTAGATGTATGTGTAGACTCATCCAGTAATCTTTAGTCCATGGCTTCATTCTGTACTTCATCTGACTAAAAGCAGCTAAGGTCATTCTCATCTCATTTTAATTTTCAAAAAACAAAGTGGCAGAAAATAAGTGATGGGATGCCATGATGAAAAGCAAGAATTCTGTTACTGAACATTTTCATTTGCTGAAATATCTAATCAATAAAGAGCAATTATTTCATTAATTGCAGAAGCCAGGAATCAATGAAAACTCCATATGATGTCTCCATAAACAAACAGGAGATTTAACATTGATGGTAAAGTTCAGTCCAGTCAATCACAGAGAAAGAACAAATTGAAGTATATTATTTCCTTTATCAACAAAACATTCATGCCTTAAAAGGAAACAGTTGAAATACAACCAGGTAAAACCTTAGAACCTTAGAATCTCTCCTACCTCTTTTCTAAAACACTATTATTTCAATATAAGGGAATATATGTAGCTTAGGGTTGCCTGACCAATTAACCCACTATAACACAACCACCACTAGCTATGAAAAGGACAGCTCTGTCATATATCAAAAGCATCTCAAAAACAACCAACAGACTATAACAATCATACAGAATCACTGTAGATACCAACTAAAGTCATCCAAAATACCTTAAATAAACCAAAGACCCAGTACAATAGCCCAAAAGCAAAAAGAGGAATCATCTAACATACACTGTAATAGTCACTATGTAGGACAGACAAGCAGAAGGCTAATGTAGCATATCCATGAACACCAACTTGTAGTCAGAAGACATGATGAAAACTTCTTAACCTTACAACATGTGGGCAGACTCAACCATATTTTCAACTGGGAAACTGTGAGCATCCTAGACCAAGCTTAATTCAGGAATTCCTGGAGCAGGCATGCTATTCAGCAGGTTCTGGAGAACCGGTAGCAGAAATTTTGAGTAGTTCAGAGAACCAGCAAATACCACCTCTGGCTGGCCCCAGAGAATGGAGATTTTGCAATATCCTTCCCCCAGGAGTGAGGTGGGAATGGAGATTTTGCAGTATCCTTTCCCCAGGAGTGGGGAGGGAAAATAATATTCACCTATTTGACCAAGTAGTTAGTGAGATTAACATGTTCAAAATTTTGTGAACAAAAGCATCTGGGCGCAAATTTATGCACTGCCCTTTGAAATATTTAACATTTCTCTAACTATGACCCTTGGTTTAATTGTTAATTGGAATTCTGAAAAGTTGCCAGAGCTTTCAATATTTGGATTTTTGTAGTTTGGTAGCACCTAAGTTTGAGAGTAAGTAAATAGCATCTTAAACCCAATGGACCTGATTACTTCTGTTATAAATGTTGGCAAGTGTTGTGTTATACTTCTTAGTTAGTGCAAGTGTGCTGTGGATGAGTATAGATGACTAGGTCTTACAAGTTCCCCACCCCCCATGATTAATTGTAATGCACAGTGTGCTGTGCACAGAGCCCTGCATAATCTAACGCTCCCTCCTCTTATAGTCAAGCTCATTTATTTTAAATGTCAAGGTATTTTTTTTTAATCAGGAAAATCTTCCTCTCTGCAAACTGCTTTCTTTTAAGTACACCAGCATTTTGAAATATTGGTAGGATGAATGGCAGCTCTTAATGTATAAATGAGCCACTGCTATGAAGTTTAATTGAGCTGATTCCCAAGATGCTTTTAATTACTTCTTTGTGATATGCACCAAAATCTCTACAGCTAGATTGTATGTTCAGTTCTGAAGTATTTATTGAGATGGCAGTGTTCTATGGCATTCATAGAATGGCTCCATCATACAGCTTTAGCTTATGCTAAGCTAAAAAGGGGCTTGGTGTTGTGTCAGCCATTGCCTTAGTAAGTTGTGTGAAACAGGTTGTTGCTTTAAGCCACAATATGATTGTAGGGGATGCGGGGAAAGAGGAAGCAGAGAATGCTTCATGTGTTTTGTTAATTCAGGTTTGGTGATAAAATGTTGTATGAACTCAACTTTAGGGCTGATATATTGGTTGAAATACTATCTCCAGAAGCAGAGAAGGGATTATTCTGTTTTAGAGAGAGAGTCAATTGAATTGGCAAGCAATGTTTCCACAAAACCCTTAATTAGGTTACTACCGGTGTGTAGAGTGAAGCCCTACACCTTGCCAGCTTAAGCCCAGGGAAGGACACTTCAGATCAGAATAAACCACAGGGCCCTTCCATAGTCAGCTGTTGTGTGAATATCACAGGACAGTAAAAAGTGAAGACTGCCTTGACAGCGCAATACTGTACCCCCAAAAAAACTGGAGCTGTAGAGTTGCTGGAAAAGGCAGTGGGAGAATGTGGGAGAGTGGATTGCAAGTGGGGGGTGGGGTCCCTGGGAAGTTCCCAATGGTTGTGAGACTTGGAGAAGACACTTCCAGAACTGTTTGCATGATGGAATAAGCCAAATTTGGCACCAAATAGGGGTAAGGCAGGTTGTACTACAGTATATCAGATGTACTAATAATTCCTTCTTCTTTTTTTAAAGGTCCACTTCGATCAGTTTAAAGATGCACTAATCCTCATCTTGTCTAGCACATTAACAAATGAAGAGTCCTTTCAGCAACCAGGTAAGACCGGTTTTGGAAATGTTGAGATTCTGGCAACCACCAGGAAAGGAGAAGTACATAGTGCAACTATAATCCATTTAGAAAAGTTTCCGTGTTTATAATGAAGTGTGAAGCAACATTTGGGCCAAGTGGCTTTGATTTCCTACACTAAGTTCTCCTCCAAACAGGAACTGGTGGTTTCATTATATAAATATTCTGCTTAGTTTATATGCAATTTATAAGAAGTAGCTGCAAGCAGAAGGCGGGATATGTCACCTCATCAAAAGGTTAACAGGTTTTGATTGGTTGACAAATGGAAATTAGAAATATTGGTATGAAACAAATTCAGGTATTCACAGCATACTTTGATTTAGTTTTTAAAACTGTTTTGAAGGAAGTTGCATGCAACATGCAACTTCCTAATCCAGCGTTTCTCAAATTTGACTGTTTGGAGGTGTATGAACTTCAAGTTGAAGATATGTTAGTCTCCAAAGAAGCAATAGCATGTATATACTGCTTCATAGTGCTTTACAGCCCTCTCTAACCAGTTTACATTATCTGCATATTTCCCCCAACAATCTGGGTCTTCGTTTTACTGATCTCACAAGGATGGAAGGATAAGTCAACCTTGATCTGTTCAGGATCAAACTGCTGGCAGTCAGCAGAGTTAGTCTGCAATAGTGCATTCTAACCACTGTGCCACCATGGAGCAGGTAGCTGAAGTCCGCATATCTTCAATAATAGATTTTCCAAAGACCTGTAAAGTATTTGTTTCCCCAGATTCTGTCTCTGAGACCTAGATCACAAAATGTATTAAACTTTTGCATGGCTTTGATGTAGTCTGTTAGGTAAAAATACTGTAAGCATTAGAGAGTTAGTCAACAAACTATAAGTACAGTAAACAAACCATGGCTTAGTGGAATGTATGAAAGCAGTTTTTATGTGATCACAGTTGTTTTCTTTCAGGGTGTAACATATGACTCTTTTCCTTTGCATTCTGGTATTCACCTTTATGATCTCAGAGACAGGCTATGTGAGACTTCTTGGCTGATATTCCAGGCTTGCCAGAATAAAGCTATTTTTCACCATCCGTCAGAGTTTTTAAAATGTATTTATTCAATTTGTATGACTGCCCATCTCAGACATGACTCAGGGTGGGAAGCAACCATAAAATCAATTAAAAACTGAAATCACAATACTAAAATATTGTGAACTGCAATCACAATACTAAAAATTAAATACATACACAGCTGCCAAGAAAAACATTATAGTCTATATAGTAGTTAAGGAAGTGCTTCTTTTTCACAAAATGACTGAAGTAAAAATGCTTAGCATTAATGAGTCTGTAAATCAAAAGACAGTTTAGAGAAGTGCTTCTCAATCCCAGCAAATTTAAAATAAATGGACTTCAATTCCCAGAATTCCTGAGCCCCAACCTAGGTGACTGAAGAATTATGGGAATTTAAATCCACTCATCCTAAAATTGCTGAGATTGAGAAAGACTGGTTTAGAATAAGGAAGAAGAGAGAGACAATTGATAGTAAATTAAATGGAGGTTAGCCTCTTGGGCATAAACTATAGAATTAAAGGTACTGTCTTCTTTCCTGGGAAAAGGGCTTCTCTGAGTAAGTGTGTAAAATGAGAGCTAGCTTAATGTAATGCAGTTAAACTTTTTACACTTTAAAATATGCTCTAAAATTAAAACATTATTGCAAAGCTAAGGAAATATTTTGGATGTCTTTAGTAACTGAAGGGACAGCCAAGCTGACTTTGTTTTAAAGAAATAAGTTTTAAAATATAGTATAACAATAAGGGTTGCAGCATAGTTAGTAATTGCTTACAAAAATAGCTATTCAGGTTGATTAAACCTGACAGTAGTTAGCAAAGAAAAGAATGTGTGTTGGGACATTTCTTCTGCCCAGTCCTTGGGGCTAAAACTATATGTTTGTGCTTGCACAGAAAATATTTTTAAATTGACTGGATTCATCTTGCTGAGTAGATACTTTATCAGAGGGCAATAAAGAAGATTCATCTGGGGCTTCAAAAACCCTAAGGTTTTTTTCCTTTATATTTTCTGACTGCCACTTGGAGAGTCTCGGTTTGAGTTTTTTAAGTTGAAGGTTCTGAATTGCTAATAATATGTGTGGTCTAATCAAAGAAGTAAGAGTTCTTAATTCTAACTCATTTAGTCAATCAATTGGTTACTCATGTTCATATCCTTGCATTTAGAAAGTCAGCCTAAAATGAGTGAGAGGGGGAAAAGGAGAAAATAATTGTCCCATGGCTGTAGATTATGGACCCATGATGGCGAACCTTTGGTACACCTGCCCAAAGTGGCACACATAGCCATGTCACCTGGCATGCGCGCCCTTGCCTGTTTCTCTTCCGGGTTTCTGGCTCACACACACGCACAATGATCAGCTGTCTACACGCGGCAGTGTCGAAAACCAGTGTGCACATGCGCGCCGGCCAGCTGATTGTCGGGTGCACATACGCACTAGAACCCAGAAGTTCGGTTTTTCCAGAGTGCGATCCCTTCGTGCGCATGGCAGTGCCGAAAACCGGCCTGCGCATGTGCACTGGACAGCTGATCATCAGGTGCGCATGCATGCTAGAACCGGAAGTTTGGCTTTTCCGGAGCATAGCCCCAATGAGCATATGTGCGCATGTGCAACGTTTCCACGTGAGTGCCGAAAAACATTCGCCATCACTGCTATAGACTATACTCTCTCTCACACACACACACTCAAGCTAAATCTTTTATAAGAATCATTTTCTCAAAGGAACCACCATCTTTGGTAGCATAATGTTCAAACTTTGCTCATGGAAGTTTTGATTTTTTCATTATTTCTAACATTGCTTGTCCATGATTTGACCAGCAAATCTACAAGAAGCCAATGTGGAATGACTTCCAGCTCACATGGAAGCATTGTGGTCAGTATTGGGATTCAGCCAGTTCGCACCACTTAACCGGTTGTTAACTTTCTGAGCAGTTTGGTGAACTGGTTGATTATGGTGCATATTCAGATGTTAAATATTGTAGGCAACCATTCTGTAAACAGGAAGACAGTCTTGTCTCTCGAGATTCTTAATCATCCAGCTCATGGTTGTCCCAGAGGTGCTTTTCCAAAAGGCAACTGGACTTTCTTGGTTTTTTTCCTTGAAAACATTTTGCTTCTCATCCAAGAAGCAGCATCGGTTCCAATGAAGTGAAACGTTTTCAAGGAAAATGTCTATGGAGATTCTCAATCATCCAGGTTACGGTTGTCCCAAAGGTGCTTTTCCAAAAGGCAACTGGACTTTGTTTTTCCTTGAAGACATTTCACTTCTCATCCAAGAAGCTTTCTCAGTTCTGATTCCATTCCCCAGCATTCAGTCAGAACTGAGGATGCTTCTTGGATGAGAAATGAAACCTCTTCAAGAAAAAACAAAGTACAACTGTACCTTTGGGTTTTCAAGGAAAAAGAGCAAGAAAGTCCAGCTGCCTTTTGGGAAAGCACCTTTGTGATGAAAACGGTCTTCTTCAATATAAGAGAATAGACATGGTTAAAGTTGAACTGTGGAATCCTTGGCGCTCTCTGAAATTGTTTGTTTGTTTACAGACTTTTTGTTATAACATGAAACTAACTAGCCTCTCCAGAGGCTACTGACCTTGATGGTCATCTTGTTCTGTTTCTTTGATGCATATGGTCTGTCTCAGACTTGCTCTTGTTTTTACTGTCCTTTGTGTGCTGTGTTTTTTTCCTGACCTTTGAAAACTTTCCATGTATCCATCAGTCCTAACAATAAATTGACTACATACAAAGCGGTGCTTTTTTGTAAGGGCTACGTGTGTATTGCTTCAGAGGTGTGGGTGTTTTTTTCTTTCCAACCCAACAAAATCTTGGAAAGAAATTATGAAAAGGGTCTTGGGACCCAGCCCATCAGCCAGGGATAACTCTTTGAAACAAAACAGAATTGGGACAAATTTGGTATAGGGTGAGAAGGTGGCCAACCAGAAAAAAGACTGAGTTTTTAAAAAGTGTTCAATCTGGCCAGAAGCTGAAGGGAGAAAAAATGCAAGAAAAAAAAAATCCCAATGCATCCCTAGGGGAGAGGGAGATGCCCCTCTTCATCTTTCCCATTCACATGTCCCAGGGTGGAGCATATGCAGTCTTTCCAGTGGTAGGTTTCAAAAATTTTTACTACCGGTTCTGTGGGCGTGGCTTGGCTTGGTGGGCATGGCTTGGTGGGTGTGGCAAGGGAAGGATACTGTAAAATCTCCATTCCCACCCCACTCCGGGGGATTGTTACTGCAAAATGCCCATTTCCTCCTGATCAGCTGGGATTCGGGAGGCAGAGAATAGATGGGGGCGGGGCCAGTCAGAATTTTTACTACCGGTTCTCCGAACTACTCAAAATTTTCGCTACCGGTTCTCCAGAACTGGTCAGAACCTGCTGAAACCCACCTCTGAGTCTTTCCTGTATACACTGTACATGCATACAGATATAAATCAAACAATGTGAGGGAAGAGCAAAAACATATCCATGTGCAAAAAGGCCACATTGTTTTGTTACATAGGAAAAAATATAAATGCCTCCTATGGCTACTGCTAGTAAAAGAGTTGGAAAGAATTCCCAAGGCTTGCTGCATGTGATTTCCTTCCTTTGTTTTGATATGGCAGCAGAGGGGGTGCCCCTCCTGTGTAACAAGAACTAAACCAACATTATCTGAGCTGTGGCATCCTCCAGAGCAGGGTTTCTCTATCTCAGCAACTCTAAGATGTGTGGACTTCAACTCCCAGAAATTCCCCCCAAGCATGCTGCCTCCTCCCTACCCCAATGCTTCAGTAATGATAGTCATGGCTTCTAGGCTGTGCTGTACTTTCAAGGCGCAATGCTAGTAGTTGCACCTGTGGAATTCTTCTAAAGAAAAGTAATGTTGCTTTATGTAAGAAAAAATAATAATTAAGCCATGGGTTCCTGTGAGCATTGTGAAAGCAGCTAAAGGTTTATGAAAGTTATTCTTTTAAGAGACCCAG